ATGAGGAAATATCAGGGCCCACGCCATGACATCCACCCCCCCCGGCCGCCTTGTTGGTTGCCTCGTGGGCTGCCTCGTCGACTGCCTCGTAGGCTGCCTCGTGCTGCCGCTTGGTCGGCAGCCTCGTGGGCTGGCTCGTCAGCTGCCTCCTGGACCGCCTCGTCGGCTGCCTCGCTGGCTGGGGGCTGCGGGCTGGGGCCTCTGGGGGCGGACGCGGCCAGTGGTAGTCATCACCCCCCTCGTGGCCGCCACCGATCCTATAGGCCCGTCCGACAGGGGCCGCCCGGCCCGGCGCGCCCTCGCCGCGCCCCCGACAGTGACCGCCGGGCGCGCCGCCCGCGCAGCGGGCGCGTCGCACGGCGGGCGCGCGGCGCACGGCGCCGGCGCGCCTCCCCCCGGGGGGGCGCGGGCGGAGGGGCAGGGCGCGCGCCCCGGGCAGCGGCCTCCGAGGGGGGCGCCCCGCGCCGCGGGTGTTAAAAAGTTGCAGGGTATCCGCCACGCCGTGCCCCACTGGCACGCTGGGGCGTGCTGGAGTGCCATCCACATCGCGACGGGTACCGAAAGGAGACAGCCCCAGGCAGATGTGGCCCCCCCCCCAGGGCTCTTGAGACCCAGGTTGTTTCTCCAAATGGGCTTGCCCGATAGGAGTCCTAGCTCAAACCATACGAATTGGTCCGTTGCCCCCCCTCATTCCTATGCCCCCCCTAATTCCTACGGCTATGGTTATGCCTATGCCTCCCCCCTAACTCCTATGCCTAAGCCTATGCCTATGCCTGCTTGCTTGCTTGCGCTCTTGCACGCTTGCTTGCTTGCACGCTTGCTTGTTTGCTGAGCTGCGGATTCCAAGCATGCTTGATTCCTCTGATTCCTTGATTTGAATCGTCTCATCTATCTGGAGTCAAGGCTGGCTGATATCTTATTACCTAACAGCGAAGACTGATAGGTTTCTAGTAGGGTCAAAAGAGAGCGTCATGACTCCCGAGGGGGGTCTGGGCAGATGCTGGACGGGTGCCGCGGAAAACCGGGGACTCCCCAGAACCTTATGCCAGGCCACATTTTGACTGCCCGGAGCCAACAGAACACCATTCCCAGGCCACATTTTGAATGCACACCAACTGTAGGCCACTTCGTGTTCTTTGTGTTCCCAGAACACCACTCCCAGGCCACATTGTGAATGCCCAGAGCCAACTGTAGGCCACTTAGTGTTCTTCGTCTTCCCAGAACAGAACACCACTCCCAGGCCACATTTTGAATGCCCGGAGCCAACTGTAGGCCACTTCGTGCTCTTCGCGTTCCCAGAACACCACTCCTGTACAATGTTTTGATTGCCCGGAGCCAACTGTGGGCCACTTCGTGATCTTCGTGTTCCCAGAACACCAGTCCTGTGCCACATTCTGAATGCCCGAGCTGAGGCAGGCTGAGGCCGAGGCAGGCTGAGGCCGAGGCAGGCTGAGGCTGAGGCTGAGGCACGCCGAGGCAGGCTGAGGCTGAGGCTGGCTGAGGCTGAGGCAGGCTGAGGCTGAGGCTGACGCAGGGTGAGGCCGAGGCAGGCTGAGGCTGAGGCTGAGGCAGAGGCAGGCTGAGGCTGAGAGGCTGACGCTGAGGCTGAGGCAGGCTGAGGCTGAAAGCCGAGGCAGGCTGAGGCTGAGGCTGAAGCTGATGCAGGCTGAGGCTGAGGCTGAGGCTGAGGCTGAGGCTGAGGCAAGCTGCGGCTGAGGCTGAGGCAGTGGCTGAGGCTGAGGCAGGCTGAGGCTGAGGCAGGCTGAGGCTGAGGCTGAGGCAGGCTGAGGCTGAGGATGATGCAGGCTGAGGCTGAGAGGCTGAGGCTGAGGCTGAGGCAGGCTGAGGCTGAGGCTGAGGCCGAGGCTGAAGCTCAGGCAAGCCGAGGCAGGCTGAGGCTGAGGCTGAAACTGAGGCAGGCTGAGGCTGAGGCTGAGGCTGTGGCTGAGGCTGAGGCAAGCTGCGGCTGAGGCAGGCTGAGGCTGAGGCTGATGCAGGCTGAGGCTGAGGCAGGCTGAGGCTGAGGCTGAGGCAGGCTGAGGCTGAGGCTGAGGCCGAGGCAGGCTGAGGCTGAGGCCGATGCAAGCGCAGGCAGGCTGAGGCTGAGGCTGAGGCTGAGGCAGAGGCAGGCTGAGGCTGAGACAGGCTGAGGCTGAGGCTGAGGCAGGCTGAGGCTGAGGCAGGCTGAGGCTGAGGCCGAGGCAGGCTCAGGAGGCTGAGTCAGGCTCAGGCTGAGGCAGGCTGAGACTGAGGCTGAGGCAGGCTGAGGCAGGCTGAGGCTGAGGCTGAGGCTGAGGCTGATGCAGGCTGAGGCTGAGAAGCTGACGCTGAGGCTGAGGCCGAGGCAGGCTGAGGCTGAGGCTGAGGCAAGCCGAGGCAGGCTGAGGCTGAGGCTAAAGCTGAGGCAGGCTGAGGTTGAGGCTCAGGCAGTGGCTGAGGCTGAGGCAGGCTGAGGCTGATGCAGGCTGAGGCTGAGGCTGCTGAGGCTGAGGCTGCTGCAGGCTGAGGCTGAGGCAGGCTGAGCTGAGGCAGGCTGAGGCTGAGGTTGATGCAGGCTGAGGCTGAGAGGCTGCCGCTGAGGCTGAGGCAGGCTGAGGCTGAGGCTGAGGCAGAGGCAGGCTGAGACTGAGGCCAAGGCAGGCTGAGGTTGAGGCTGAGGCTGAGGCCGATGCTGAGGCAGGCTGAGGCTGCTGCAGGCTGAGGCTGAGGCTGAGGTAGGCTGAGGCTGAGGCAGGCTGAGGCTGAGGCCGAGGCAGGCTCAGGAGGCTGAGGCAGGCTGAGGCTGAGGCAGGCTGAGACTGAGGCTGAGGCAGGCTGAGGCTGAGGCTGAGTCTGATGCAGGCTGAGGCTGAGAGGCTGAGGCTGAGGCAGGCTGAGGCTGAGGCTGAGGCCGATGCAGGCTGAGGCTGAGGCTGAGGCAAGCCGAGGCAGGCTGAGGCTGAGGCTGAAGCTGAGGCAGGCTGAGGCTGAGGCTGAGGCAGTGGCTGAGGCAGTGGCTGAGGCTGAGGCAGGCTGAGGCTGAGGCTGAAGGCAGGCTGAGGCTGAGGCTGAGCAGGCTGAGGCTGAGGCTGAGGCTGAGGCTGAGAGGCTGAGGCTGAGGCTGAGGCTGAGCTGAGGCAGGCTGAGGCTGAGGCTGAGGCTGAGCAGGCTGAGGCTGAGGCTGAGGCTGAGGCTGAGGCTGAGGCTGAGGCAGGCTGAGGCTGAGGCTGAGGCTGAGGCAGGCTGAGGCTGAGGCTGAGGCTGAGGCTGAGGCTGAGGCAGGCTGAGGCTGAGGCTGAGGCTGAGGCTGGCAGGCTGAGGCTGAGGCAGGCTGAGGCTGAGGCAGGCTGAGGCTGAGGCTGAGGCTGAGGCTGAGGCTGAGGCTGAGGCAGGCTGAGGCTGAGAGGCTGAGGCAGGCCGAGGCAGGCTGAGGCCGAGGCAAGCCGAGGCTGAGGCTGAGGCTGAGGCTGAGGCTGAGGCAGGCTGAGGCTGAGGCTGAGGCTGAAGGCAGGCTGAGGCTGAGGCAGGCTGAGGCTGAGGCCGAGGCAGGCGAATCCTTCGGAATCCTTAGGATTCCCCAGGAATCCTTAGGAATCCATAGGAATCAGGATTCCTAAGGATTCCTAAGGTTTCCTAAGGATTCCTATGGATTCCTAAAGATGCCTAAGGATGCCTTAGGAATCCCTAGGAATCCTTAGGATTCCATTGGATCCTAAGGCCGTTGCCACTGCGACTGTCATTGCGACTGCGACTGCGACTGCGAGAACAGCATAATTCTACAACTGGATTCTCACGTGAATCTTAAGGGGAATGCTTCCAAATATGCTTATACACATCGCTGTTAGGTTGCTTAGCCGGGATAATACCTAAGGTGTTTTTTTTGCAGGCCCTCGTGGTTTTGCAAATGGCATCGCCATCCCTACTCTCGTCCTCATCGCGGCCCTCCCACCCTCGAGCAATGGCCGTCGTCGTCGTCGCCATCCTCGTCCTCATCGCGGCCTTCCCACCCTCGAGCAGTCGCCGCCACATACTGCTGGGCGGGCAAGCCGGCGGGACTTGCCGCAGGCAGCTGGCTACTATTTCCGTGGCAGGGGTGCCCGCCGCCCCGCCGCTAGTGCTCGGGCGGCAGGCCCGTGGGAGGAGGAGGAGGAGGAGGAGGAGGAGGAGGAGGAGGAGGAGGAATGGGAGGACTGCATGAATGGATGTCGGTTGCACGCAAGAGTGACCCTGGGCAAGAGTGACCTTCGGTGCGAAACTTTCGGTGGGCGCGGTGGGGCCAAACCCAACCACACAAGCCGCTGCTACCGCATCGCATTCAGCGATCGTGGGACCCCAATGGGCCCGCACCAAGCGTCACTCTGGCGAAGGGCCATTCTTATGTGTAATTGAGGATGTCGTTCGTGGTCCAATGTCCCTATGATGGCACGCCGTGCGACACGATGTGTGCTGTAAAGCCGGACGGACGAAGATGTGCTATACATCGGTTAGAAAAGGCCTTTTTGGCTATGCATCCACGAGGCCATCGATTCCACCGGCCCCAAACTCCGAACCTCCCGCCAGGCTGAAGCACCGAAAACATACAAGCCAACACTTCTGTTAAATGTTCGCCAACGCGGGCCCAAGACAGTGTGTTCTAGCATACTAGGTGATGCAATCTATACGGTGCAACCTATGTTGGAAGCTATGTGGTGCAATTAATATCAGTTCGCAGGGTGTTGTCAACTCCACTGCTCGCAAAACCATCCCGCCCACCCACCCGCAACTTGGTTTGCTAAACCCTTTCAACGGCGATTGCGATGAGTGCATGGCGTTGGCTGGTGCATCTCTGCGGCCGCGCCAGTCTGCGCATGTTCGCGCGCGAAGCGGCCAGCTGGTTCAGCGCGGCCGACGCGGCCGCGGTGGCGCTGACCGCTGGGCACTTCCCAGCGGGCACTTCAGCGCGAATTGGCGTGTTGGGCGGGCGCGGAATCATTGCAACGTCGACAACGGTAGACACGATTCCGGTAGTAGCGATGCTGGTGACGATGCTGACAATGACGACGGCAAGGCCAGTGACGGCGCTGACGCTTATCACGCCGAAGAAGGTGACGGCGTCCTCGCGTCGGTGATGACGGTGTTGAAGAGGAGTTTGACATGCGCACGCGGCCGACGCGCGAGTGGCCCGCATGGTGACACGGATCGTGCCCCCCCCGCCCCCAGCACGCGCGCAAGGACGTTCGAATGACTTCGACATGAGACGCGAGAGGCCCGTTTGGCCGAATTTACTGAACATGTTGAAGAACCTATGGTTTTCGTAAGAATTCGTAGGAACGCGAGCGCAGGCATTTTTGAAACGGATGGCAAGAGACTATGTGTTTTTTATGTGTTCGGAAAACTCGTTTTCGAACTCCTTACGACACCTGGATGTTGAAGGATTTCGGCATGCGCGCGCGACGACGCGCGCGCGCGCACTTCGTCCCAGCAAGTGATTCTTGCGACAACGCGCGCGCGCAAGAACCTTCGAGCGAGTTCGACCTTCGCGCGCGAAAGGTCCGTTTGGTAGCATGCTACGAACATTTTAAAACAAACTTGAAACATAAAAAGGAGCTCGCAAAGGCGAGAGCGCAATTTTTCGTTGTGTTTGAAAACTCCTGTTGCGATGCCATGTGTTTTTCCCAACCATCCTGTGGCGTCGGCCTTCCTCCTCCCCTCCTCCCTGCACCACCCGCGTGCGTCACGCACACCCATTTCGGCAAACCACTCACACGCATCGTGGCCCGATAGGAAGCTCCACCGAAGGCCCCACTGCCACCGCCCGCATGCGTCACGCACCCCGAGTTCAGTACACCCCTCACACGTTTTGTGGCCCCTTAAGGTGCTCCACCGAAGGCCCCAGTGCCATCACCCGCATGCCCCACGCACACCCAAATCGGCACACCCTTCACACGTTTCGTGGCCCTACAGGGAGCTCCAGCGAAGGCCCCGGTGCCACCGCCCGCATGCGCCACGCACCCCGATTTCGGCACACCCATCACACGTTTCGTGGCCCCATAGGGAGCTCCACCGAACGCTCCAGTGCCACCGCCCGCATGCGTCACGCACAGCCATTTCGGCACACCACTCACACGCATCGTGGCCCATACGAAACCCCACCGGAGGCCCCAGTGCCACCGCCCGCATGCGTCACGCACACCGATTTTAATATAGTTCTCTCACGTTTCGTGGCCCCATAGGGAGCTCCACCGAACGCTCCATTGCCACCGCCCGCATGCGTCACGCACACCCATGTCGGCACACCACTCACACGCAACGTGGCCCCATAGGAAGCCCCACCGAAGGCCCCAGTGCCACCGCCCGCATGCGTCACGCACCCCGATTCCAGTACAGCCCTCTCACGTTTCGTGGCGCTCCAGTGCCACCGCCCGCATGCGTCACGCACACCCATGTCGGCACACCACTCACACGCATCGTGGCCCCATAGGAAGCCTCACCAAAAGCCCCAGTGCCACCGCCCGCATGCGTCACGCACAACGATTTCGGCACACCCCTCACACGTTTCGTGGCCCCATAGGGTACTCCACCGAAGGACCCATAGGGAACTCCACCGAAGGCGCCAGCGGCTGCGTTCGCATGCGCCCATCGCACCCATTTCGGCACACCCCTCAGGCGTTTCGCGGCACCACATGGAGCTCCGCCGAAGACCCCAATGCCACCGCCCGCATGCGTCACGCACACAACTTTCGGCACACCCCTCGCACGTTTCGCGGCACTAGGCGGTGCATGCAATGTGGGGCGCCAGTGGTGCAAAAAATATGGTGTGTGGTGCAACTCGCCGCCGAATATGAAATTCTCAATTCCACTGCTCGCGCAATCTTTCCACCCGCCCAGTCGCAGCTTGGCCTGCAAAACGCATGCGACGGCGATTGCGATGAGTGCTTGGTGTTGGCTGGTGCGTCTCTGCGGCCAAGCTAGCCTGCGCATGCTCGCGCGCGCAGCGGCCAACTGGTTTACCGCGACCGACGCGGCCGCGGTGGCGCTGACCGCTGGGCACTTACCAGAGGGCACCTCAGTGCGAGTCGGCGTCTTGGGCGGGCGCGGTCTCATAGCAACGTCGGCAACGGTAAACACGATGAGGATAGTAGCGATACTGGTGACGAATGTGACAACGACGACGACGACAAGGCCAGTGACGGCGCCGATGATGATTACGCTGACCACGATGACGACCACCTAGCGTCGGTGATGAAGGTTTCGGAACGCGAGTGGCCCGCATGGTGTGATTCGACCCGGATCGTGCCTCCCCAGCACGCGCGCAAGGGCGTTATAATGTTTCGGCATGCGGCGCGGGAGGCCTGTTTGGCCGAACTTAATGATTTGGATTCAGATTTCTATGATTTCCAACAGAATTCGCGAGAGCGCGAGCGCATGCTTCTTCTGAAAACAAATGATGAACAACCTGTTCGTGCATGTATACATGGTTTAGTGACCTTTTGTTCTGAACTCCTTACGACACCGGAGGCTTTTGACGGATTTCGGTATGTGCGCGCGAAGACGCGCGCGCGTTCACTTCGTCTCACTTGTTGCAAGGGGTTATTGCGACAGCACGCGCGCACGGGCCTCCGAGCGATTTCGACATGCGCGCGCGAGAGGCCCGTTTGGTAGCATGTTAGAACTGTTGGAAGCCGATCGTTGTCTTAAGAATTCGCATGAGCGCGAGCGCAAGCTTTTCTTGAAAATTATTGTTGCGAAACCATGTGTTGTGCATTTCGCCCTACCTTCGCAAGGAACCTTTAAACACGGATGGTTTTTGATCAACGAGTGCGCGCGCATAGTATTTCTTGCAGTGGATGTTGAGGGGGGGCATACTGGCTTGCCTGGGATGGTATGAACTCATAGTTCCCATGGGCGATGGGGCAAAATCATTTGTACTGTACATTGCAGTACGGAAAAGGGTCCCGTTCATTCCAGGGGGCGGGGAATATTCTCATGTTCTTTCGGAAAGGATGATCTATGTGGTAAGAGCTAACGTACACATCTAGATGGTCTGAGGTATGTGGTTTAACCTATGTTGCACCATGTATGTGGAGCGACCTCTGGGGGGTATGCTACGTAGGGCAATAGGTGTGGTGCATCTGTGTGGTGCGATCAATGTGGTGTAAGCTGCAAGCTATGTGGCACAATCTAAGTGGCGCAGTCGATGCTCAACAATACATGTGGTGTAATATATGCAGTGCAATATCCGTGGCGTAAGCTATGTGGTGTAAACTATGTAGTGCAGTCGTTGTGATGTTAGATATGTGGTGCAAGCTATGTGGTGCAATTAATTTCTGTTCGCAATGAATTGTCCACTCCACTGCTCGCGCAAACATCCCACCCACCCACCCGCAACTTGGTTTGCAAAATCTCTTAAGACCGTGACGGTGGGTACCAAATGGCACTTGGCAACAACAGTGACGCCGACGACGACAGCGACAACGACGACGACGACTACGACGACACCGACGACGTCTCCAACGACTTCAACGACGCCGACAACGACGACGACGACGACGACGACACCGACGACGACGACGACGCCGACGCCAACGACGACGACGACGACAACGACGACGACGATGACGACGCCGACGACGACGATGACGACGACACCGACGACGACGACGATGTCAACGACGCCGACGACGACGACGACGACGACGGCGGCGGCGACGACGACGACGCCGACGTCGAGGACGACGACAACGACGCCGACGCCGACGACGAAGACGACGACGACGTCGCCAACGAAGACGACGAGGGAGGAGGAAGGACGACGACGGTGACAACGGCGACAACGACACCGACGAGGGAGGAGGGAGGACGGCGACGACGCGAACGACGAAGAAGGAAGAAGGACGGCGACGCCGACGACGGCAACGACGAGGGAGGAGGGAAGACGACGACGACGACGACGACGACGGCGGCGACGAAATAGGAGGGACGACGACGAGACGCCGACGACGGACGACGACGACGACGACAAGGGAGGAGGAGGAAGGACGACCACGGCGACAACGACGACGGAAACGACAACGACGCCAAACAGGACGACGACGACGAACACGAGGAAAGACAGAGGACGACGTAGGCGACGAAGACGACGACGACGCGGGAGGAGGGAGGACGGCGACGACGACGACGACGACGACGCAAGAGCGCGCGCGCACGCCTTTG